TCGTGAGCTTCGAGAAGAAGTGATGCAGCTGCCCTCCAAGAACTCTTGAGTGAGGGGATAGCGCCACTGAAAAATGCTCACGGCGATGGTTCACAGCTCCCGAGAGTAGCAGAGCTGTTCGGGCCATGTGGCCTTGTGGTGCTTCGTGAAGCAAGGCAGCCAATGGCACACATGGAACAAGGGCGGCATTATCATGCATACATAAAAAATACATAGTGGCATATAATGCTGTATAAAGCTATTTACTTTATATATAAGAAATCATATTATCAGCATGCCCTCTCCAGAGCCTCACGTTTTCAGTGCCGAAGATCCGCTTTCGCAAGTTTCCCGAGCCAGGCTCCACGCTGGCGGTCCTACAGCCGCCTACCCATGGCAAGCTTGGGGCTTAGAGGATTAGGGGCTTGCGGGGATCAGGGGTATAGGGTTTGGGGGTGTTGGCTGTTTCTGAATTCGTTTGCTGCCAGTGGCTGACTCGTTTGCTGGTGTCGCTTGGAGTGTGGAGTCCCTGGGTGATCTCTTGATTGCGAAGGCTTGTCTGGCAGTGCCGAGTGCGAGGGTCGAAGCCCAAGACTCATGGATAGGAAGCCCTAAACCCTGATCCCTAAACATCCCTAAACCCTAAACCCAAAACTTCCCAGAACCCGAAACTCCCGGGACCCGAAACTCGACGGTTGAGTCCGAGTCGCCCCAAAGCCAGAGCTTCGAGGCCGCTGTGCCGCGGGAATTTGCTGCAAAGGAGGGGCCGGAGCAGGCTGAGCATCGTCGCAAGGAAACGAAACAAGCACCAACAAAGCAGTCTTGGCCTCACAAAAGGTTCGTAGTTGCTGGGGTTTTTAGGCGCTTTCAGGCCAGGATTCGACGGTCGAACAGGGTGTCGTTTCGGGTCCTCAGGTCTCAGGAAGCTCCCGAAGGGCGCCTGCAGAGGAGCCAAAGCCCTAAAGCCTAAACACAAAAGACGTGTAGTTGTACAGACCAACCAAAATGGAGGGTTTCCGAGCATAGGGGACCCTACTATAGTACCATGAAAAGTAGGATCCTTATCATAAGAACCCAAAATTGTTTGTGTAAGAACCCTAAACCCTAATCCCAACAACTCCGGTCCCTCAAACCCAGCCTCCGCCTAATAGGCATTCTGACGGCAAGTACGTTTGCTAGCGGAGAAGGGGCGACAAAACAAAAAAGAATCTAACAATTGTGTAAGAACCCGGCCTGGATAAGTCCGAATGCGAGCGACACACTGCACGCAGCAACCTCGCACCCTCTCAACCTGTAAACCCCGAAGTTATCAGCCTCTAAGCCTCTACGCCTTAAGCCTAAACCTCGAAACCCTAAAGCTCTGAGCCCTAAAACCTCAAACTTAGACTTCGACAGTTTCTTTGTGAAGGCCAGCTCCTGGTCGCGGGCGGCTTCGACTTCTCTCAAGAAGAGTCCCTGGCGTCCTGCGAGGTCGAGAGGGGAGGAGTTCGGAAGCTACAGATGACACAAAGCGAGAACCCTAGAGCTGCACACTCGGGTCGAATCTCTCAATCCGCCTCCAGCCCTTGTTCAGTTGTTCATGATCTTCCCAAGTGCTGTTGACCGTGGCCGCATGCCTTGCTTTTGAAGCCTGGGGTAGGCCATCGATATTGCCGACCTGCTGGCCGAACGTCCAGCGGTGCAGGCCGGGAAGAGTGCCAGCCACGACGGCTTGCGAGCACGGTTCCTGTGATGTGCCACTTTTGATGAGGCGTGCCCTTCCTTGCAGCACGCCAGGGTGCCAGCCCCGGATGGCCATTGAGTTCTGCCGTCTGCCCAGCGATTCAATCATCCGTGCTGGCCAGGCTTGCCCGGGTCTTGCTGCAGCATCCGAGGCTCTCCTGTTGATCTTCAAAGGGTTACTAGTGCTGCAAAGGTTTCATGTGACCGGAAAGTCACACGTGTTGTGGGCCGTGAGTCGCCGAGAGTTGCATCTATCTGGGTGACTGTCTGCAGGCCGTGCTTGCCGTGGGTGGTGGAAGCAGCATGTTCACTGCGGCAGAGGCGGTATCTGTGCGAGTCTACTAAACAAGCCAAAGCAAGTGCGCGGAATGCGGCGTCACTCTTCGATACTGCTTGGCCATGTTAACATTTCTGAGACTTGCTCCTCGTGCAGGCTTTTCGCAGCGTCGAGGTGCTTCGCACGGCTGCGACGAAGGCCCTGGCTGGCGGATAGCACCATGAGCCCAGAGAAGTGCTGATCTGTGCACTCTTCTGTGATTTCTCGCCTGCCGCCCAGTGGCAATATGGTCCGACTTTGCAGAGGCCAGGCCTTCTGCCTTCTGCTTCTGCTTGCCTTTGATGTTTTGTGGATTGCGGCAGCCTCGGCTTGGAGAGGCCCCGCTGTGCGGCCGGGGTTTGCGTGACTCGGCCTATGAATGGTCAGGGATCAAGTTTCGGTTAAGATTCCTGGAGCTGGAGACTTAGGTTTCCTCTGCCGGGCACGTGTACGCGATCAGCGGCTATGCAGGCAATGACTGCTACGAGGACATTCTGGACAGCCTGAGTTGCAGGAACCTTCGTTAGGCACTCTGGTCTTTAGAGGAGTCCGTGGAGTGGGCAGATGGTAGCTCCGAGGGCCTGCTGCGCGGGTGGTTCGCCGGTCCTGCGCTTTCACAGGCCCGTCGGGCCCGGCGGGGGCCCGCAGAAAATAGCTCTTTAAGTCCAGCCTCACCTTTGAAGGCGCGTGCAGGCTGCGCAGCCTGCTTCGGGCCAGATGGCCGTGCTCCAGGCTCAGCGGAGCCTAGCGGAGCCTAGCGGAGCCTTGCAGCCAGCGAAAGCAGCCATGCTGTTGCTGCGAGCAAGGTCTGGGTCCTGGGGGGCGGCTGTGACGAGTCCGCAAGCCTTGCACGAGCCTCAGACGTCCGAGTCTCTTCGGAGTAGTGCTCTGCGCACGATGAAAGCAGCAGTGAAGGACACCGTGGAATGCCTTGATCCTCGCGAAGGTCGCTGGTGTCAGGCTCCGGCCGTGCAAAAAGCAACAATCAAGCGCAGCATCAAAGCGCTATGCCCGCTATGCGTAGAAGTTGCCCTTGGCACAACGGGGGCGCGAGCGAGGAGAGGAACCCACCCGCAATTGGACCCCCCCGCAAATGCGCACGCAGAAAGGTGGACCTCCAATGCACAAACAAATCTAAAGAGCGAAGAGACGACAAGCCTGTGCTTGAGCAAAGATTGCCTCTAGGTGCACAGGTTCCCAAACTAAAGAGGCTCAGAGATGTTCAGGGAGGCGTGGGTCAAGCGTCTCCTTGGTGAAGGCTCCTTGCATGCCTGGGCGGCGGCGATGCTTTGCGGCAAGCTTTGGCATCGATCGCCGCTCCTGCTGAGATGGGCAAGTTCAGCCCCGCGACTGCTCTGCCATGGCTCTGTGCCTGAGGCAAGTTGTACATCTACGGTACACCCTGCCCCGTTTTGTGTGGCCTGAGCTTGCAAAAAATGAGTTGGCAAGTGCCAGGCGGTTGGAACCGCGAGCGCTGGCACGAAGACAGCGCCGCCCGCCTGGACTTGCGAAGTCTCCGTCCGGTTCCCAGAGAACTCGTCTCACTTGTGGAACAGCAACGTCTGCTGCAGCTACCACAAAAGGATGGGAGACACTTCCGTCGCCGGTGTCAGAGGCTGCGCGCATCAGGGCCCTCTGTTCCCATGGGTTACTGCTTCGAAAGCAACCTTGTAAGCTTCGAGTTGTGAAGCCTGCAATGTCAGTGCCCATAGGACCCTGACCACTTCCCGAGTCTACTCAAGGATGCTTAGCTCAATGCTTTGTTTGCGAGGCGCCAGTGCAGGCGAACAGCGTCATCCCCTATCACTTCGTGAGTGGCTGTACAGCGTTGTAGACCTTGCCATGTATCTAGATGGTTTGGCAAGTTTTCTGTGTGGGAGCCCAGGCAGGACCCGTGTCCTTCGGAGTCCAGATGAGCATGGGCTGTGCTGATTGTCTTAGACTGTGATGAGGTGCCTCTTGCTTTGATACCGGCAAGGCATGTAGGCACCTCGCCACTTGTTCAATACCAGGTAGCAGACCAGGGCCGTGACATGCCTTGAGTCCTTACTATTGCCCGTATGGCGTCAGCCTTCGTTCCAGCCGGATTGTGCAACTTATGACAGCGACGGTCTTCGCCGTCTCGCCGAAGGCGATCGAACAACCAAAAGCTGTGAACCTTCGGGCAAGTCGACTGGTCACACGGCCCACGCATCTGCACAGCTATCTCCCTGCTCGCGTTGACACTCGACCAGGCTGCTCCGGTTCAAACCTGCAGTGCGGTTGAAGCTTGCAGACGCGGCAAGCTGCCGCAGTGGAACTTGAACATTAATCTGAACCGTAGCCCCATGACGCGGCGCTGCCGCGATGCACACAACATGTAATTGCACACATCAGCACAGAGAAGTCAGACAGTCGGACCCTTGTGCTCCTAAGTTGCCAGCAATCGTTGGCACAGAATCAATTGTTTACAGATGGAGCCATGAGCAGCAGCTCGTCCCCATCCTTGGCGAGGCCGAGAACGGACGAGATTTCGGTTTCTGGTTGATGGACATGTCGTTTTGAGTCCGGCTGCATTCATAGCAGAACTCTAAATCCCAAAAACCCTAAAACCCTAAACCCAAAACCCTAAACCCATTAACATTTTCGGTTTCGTTTGAGGCCATTTGCGGATTTGCCACATGGGGCCAGCCCGCCCCTGTCTCGAAGAGGCAGCACTTTTTTTGCGGTCCCCGTTGTGACGGGTTTAGGGGTTTAGGGTTTAGGGTTGAGGGGTTTAGGGTTTGGGGGTTCAGGGATCTAGGGTTGAGGGGTTTTGGGTTGAGTGGCAGCGTTGGCAGGTGAAGGCCACCTTCTTGGAGGACCTCTTGGCTCCACGGGATACCCTCCTCGGCATGTGCTGACCTCCCCACGCAAGGGTCCAGGCTGGGGGTTCTCACAGAATGGTACGGTTGATGATAAAGATCCTGCATTACCCATAATAGGGAATATACCATAATTTCTAAAACAGGTGATCAGGATTGAGATCATCAACAGTATGGATCAACTGCAGCAAGCCGCCTGGTACAGGTGACGTTCGTCTTGGGGGACCTCTTGGTGCCACCATGGGTGCCACCTTCTACACGCCCCGACAAGTGCTCGTTTCTCCGCGGCTCACCCCACGAATGCCAGCAGGCAGGGAAAGGGAGGAACCGGTTGCTTGACACGGCATGTGTCATTCTGCCATGTCATGCCATGTCAGTACACACATTACAGAGGTTTCTGGGCACTTCTCGTGCTGGAAGAGCCAGACTTGCCAGGGGCCACAAGTGTGATCGCCTATGCGCCTGGCTTGCCCAGTGGCTTCATCCCAGTGGCGCCGGCTCCAAAGGTCCGAATCCTTTGCACGGTCTTGGATATGTTGCTGAGATGTTTCGGTGTCGGTTCCGACAGCGGCACATGACATGCCGCATGCAAAATGCTGTGGGTCCCGTGTGCAGATATCATGACACTGGCACGTCTTTGCCTCAGCGAAGGTGTCTCGGCCTGTGGAAGCTGCGGTGCGCAAGCAAACGCCGCGCTTCATTCGTGTTTCGGCACGGTCACAGGAGCAGCGGGGCATAGCGGGGCTGCAGCAGGGAAGTCATAAATGATGCGGTGACGTCAATAACTTCGAAGAGGAGGGTTCAGCTCTGCAGGAGCGGATGCTGCCAATCTCACGCGAAGTGACAGCTGCAGCCCCTGCGGCGGTGCCTGCGGCGGCGCCTGCGGCGGCGCCTGCGGCGGCGCCTGCGGCAGCTACGGATGGAGCAGCACGAGAGGACCAGGGCCACAAAGCCATGTGCTAATTGATGGAGGCTCTGGGCCATGCAGGTTGAACTCGAGGCTTTCCCGAAGCAAGCCGAGGCTGCTCAGGCCCCGCATCTTTGGCTGTTCTTGTTTGTGCACCTAGTCGCCGTCAGCTTCAGGCTTCTCACGTGGCATCGCCCCGATCACCCCAGCCTGTTGCGGCTTGGCTCTTAGTTCTTGGCACCAGGCAGAACGGAAGCTGCAGAATGTTTCTATCTGCTGTGAACTCACCCAGACCTGGATGCAGCCTGGCTTTGGTACAACATCCTTCCATCTGACCAATAGCTTGCAGTTGTATCAGGCATATCAGGCAGACACCCCGTTTTTACGAAGACAGGCTCATGCAAAGCTAAAGCTGAGAATCCCTGTAGATTGATCACACTACTGCAGCATTCAAGATCTCCGCCATCCCCAGCTTCAAACACATGAGACTGTTATTGTCATTGTGGCCGTTTACCCGCAATTAGTCTAATCGAATGCCAGCTGCAGGCCCCTGAAGTGGCGTCGCCCACTGGCCTGGAAGCTTCACCTCGTGCCCCTCTGGCTGCAGTTTTGAATCGCTCACGTATCACGCTGCATCGAGGCTGATATGCCTGTCCATGTCGCAGATCAGTGCAGCTCTCTTGCCATGTAAACCTCGCATAGAAATTGATCAGTGAAAAAACTCCAAGAAACTGGTGCCTTCGAATGCCATATGCTTGCATCTTTCAGGACCAGCTATACCATCCGCCTCTTGCTCATGCTTCTCGGTGTGAACGAAACAGTATGTAGCAGTCACATGATGTTGTGCACGCACACGGTCGGCGGCATTCGAGCGTGCTCCCAGGCAGCCTCAGACATTCAAACGTCTCCCATGGTGCGACAACGCACTCTGCCGGGCTACCTTGGACAAGCCGTACAGTCACAAATGCCTCCGGAAAGGCACTGCTGCGCATTTTAAGTTTAAGGGCGGAGTGCATGCACAGGGGACAACGACCGCTGTTGAAGGCAAAGCAGTATCGCTGTCATCACTACCATCACTACCCCAAGTTATGCTGTCGCTGCTGCCAGCTCAGCGTGTTTGCAATTGTCCGTCGCTGAAGGGAGGCAATGCCCTCGGCACGGAAAAGCATTCTCAACAGTTGAGGTCCCACGGCCATCTTCTGTAGGTCGAGGGCGGCTCGGACTCTCCTAGAAAAAAGCACACACGGCGATGTGCCTCGCGAGATTTTGGTGAGGTCGCTGGGCCGAGCACTTCGAGCTCCCGAGCTGACGTCAGACAGGAGTCTTCTTTCTCCTTTGTCGTCTGCGTGTTTGCCGCGTTTCCGCCGTCTTTGTCCCTGCCGCTTTGCTGATGCAGGCCTCCGGCTCGCGCAGTGGGAGAGGCTGGGAACGAGGGGCTTGGGGAGAGGGCACGGGGGCACGGGGGCAGCCTGCATCTAGAGGCCGTGCGCGCCGACAGCCGCCGGCGCTGGCGACGACCTGCACCTGCACATGCACCCGGAACGCCTGGAGTTGCACCGCATGTGCCCGCAGCGGCAATGGCCACCCCACGGGTGCATGGTCCATGCCATGGTCGTACGTCCTGGTCTGGCACACCACCGGCATCCGCGCCGGTGTCCGCTCCGCCAGCGCAGAGTCGTCAAGGAGAAGGTCTCTCGCTTGCAAAGAGCGCTGGGAGAGGCTATATTATACTATATATATATATATCATATATTATATTATATATTATACTATATTATA